ACGTGAAAAACTTTCGTTGGACGAATTTTCTTGTAAACTTCATATTTACTGAGATATCGCACTTTGACGCACTAATGAGCAACCCTGTATAAAGTAGACGGTTTATCGCGAATATTGCGATTTATTTTTATGTTCTCTGCATATAAGCAGCGTAAATACGTAAATTCATAATAAAATTGACGCAAAACGTGCTTACAGTGTTAATAAATCCTTTCAAATTAAGAACTCTTAAAATATTGCTAAGATGGTTGACCAAGATTATCGATTAATTTCCATAATGTTTATCAATTTTTTTGTCAGCAATTGTTCTAGGTAATAAGTATTACTTCCGGAAATTTGATTACTTAGTTTTTGGTTATTTATGTATTTAATCATCAAAAATATTTCTTGATTGCATTAATTGTTTTATTTTCAAAAATTTTTCTGAAGGACCTATACATATGTGTGTAGAGGAATCCGTTATACTAATAATGCCAATTCTGGATCGTTTCGTATTTTGAGCTTCATGCTACTTTATCCAGCAGGTCATTACAATGGTTTCTGTAGTTATTTCGATCTATATCAACGGACTGACTATATAAATTGATTCTCAGTTCCGTGAATTCTATTGCTATTGAAAATGTATAGATTATGTTTTTGAAAACTCTCTGTATTTCATCAAAAGAGATATATTTGCCATTAGGTTTTTAGGGCGTGGTGAATTAGAATGTCTTTCAGATGTTTCGCAAGCACGAATAATTACATCTTGAGACGTGGTTATATTACCGCTACCGAAGAATCGCATCAATTCAGTAGAAGCTTTTGAGCACAGCAGCCCTGAAAAGGAAAGCCACTCATATTTGCAAAGCGTCATGAAAACAATTCTAATTTACGACGTTTTTATTTTTATTAATCTGTCCACTGTTTTCGCACCAGCGATACACACCAGGCATACTATTAAGCGATACATTCTTTTACTAAAATATTCTCCAAAAAGGACTTCATTTTAGGTTCGAAGCAATTTACAATTACGATTAGAAGCTTAATTCTATTTTTTTATTGAAAATGATTTTTTTGTTATCAAGTAATAATACCAGTTATCAAGCAATAAGGCTGACGCATAACAACACACATACAATTTCAAGATTTCCAGATGCTTTGCATTAAGTAAAATAAAATAAAAACCATTGAAATATCGGCAATGATGTAAATCAAAGTTAATGTTAATATTTATCTTTGCGCAAGAAGAACCAGCTATTGAAATTCCATTTCCATTTCACGATTATATTGGAAGATCCCTTTCAGAGTATAGTAGCGTAGGTTTCCAGAAAAACGACGGAGGCGTGCATCTGAATATTGCTTAAATGCAGAAGCAGCATAGTGGAAAATGAGAACTAAATATTTAAACTGAATTTTTATGAAACTTTAATGTTTGCGACACCATGCATAAACCGCCGCTAGTCGCGATTATGTTGAACTGAAAATTGAAAGAATCATGGAATATTTTCTTTGGTTTTCACGCTATTTCAGAGACAATATTAATTAACATATCTGATCCAACTCACTCAGCTATTTCATTTCTTTCTATAATTCAATTTGGGAATTAATTATCAAAGTTCTCAACCTGTCTTGTTTAAAGCATATTCTTCCTATATTCTCGCGAAATTCCCTCATTTATATTGCAAACAATAAAGTTGAAATGTATTAATTAGATTAGAGGAAGCCGAGAACCAGAAAATAATAAGCATCTGTGCCATTGTTTGTAGCAGCTTATTGAACCTTGTAGATATTCTAAATTCATGTATTCCCTGTTTCGTCGGATTTGACTTTAGTGAATTTGCGAAATGGATTTCTATGAATATGAATGAAGGGTTGTATCTCCCTTATTGATTAATATCTGTTTAATGTAGATATTTTGAATGAACCAATTCCAAGGCGATGCTTCGAAAGTAATATAATAAATAAATATAGTATTAAGATTATACATTTTTATAATTTTTGACTGAGACTTCCAGTGCTGTCCAAACAGATTAAAACTTTTTATTCAATAATTTTCATAGCAAAAGTTTACTATTTTTAACATCTCATTACGTGGTGAGCTACAACATTAATTTTAAGTGATAAAATCGGTTAGTTACAATATAGGTTTCTTCGCTTGAATTGTCTATAATACCAAACACAAGTTTGTGATTTTGTTATCCGTAAGCGGTGGTGGAATTTTGGAAAGTTGCTTTCTATATCTACACTTAGAATAAGTTATTTTAATTGATCAGTAATATTATCATTTACAAATAGAGCGTGTTTCTGTTTCTACAGCAATCTGAAAACATTAATTTTCTGATTTGACTTACTTATGAAAACAAAAGCAAATTTTTACGTATACTTTTTATTATTTTAGGTATCGTTCTTTTCCTTGAAATGCGTTTATGAAATTTTCTTTACTTCAAATGGGGATCCGGTCTAGCTCCGTTGAAATAATTTTTTTTGAAACACTATCATTTGTAGAAGTTCTTTTTAAACTAAACTTTGCCATTATCAGCTTATTGATAAATTAAGCTTTCATTTGCCTGTTGGTTGTCCCAAAAAGTTGGAAACAGTAGTATATTAATATGGGTTCAAAGGATAGCTAAAGAAATTATCTGAAATCAAAACATAATTTTAATAATTACAGATAGCACTTTTGGTTGCAAATAATTCAACGAAAATTATCTATGATTGGTGAAGAAAAGAATATGTCGCATAAAAATTCAAATAACTATCCTTTAGGCCCACTGTTAGTTTTTTATAAAGATTTAATGTGAACGTACGCCCAAATCTCAACAGCCTCTTCCCGTCTATGCTGAGAATAGTTTGAAAAATTCACCGTTAAAAAATATTTCGCTTTTATTCTGCGACATCTTGGGCAGCACCCTATGCGCAATCATTAATTTCTTATTATGTACTTACTTAATGAAACATTGACACCCACCATTCCAACCCTTCCAACTAACTACTGTACGAACTCACAAACATGACAAAAATTTCGGAAAGACTAATCCACTTACAGACAAAATGGACATACAACCCCCACAACTGGACCATACTGAATCCCCTTTGCCTGACAAGACCGACAAAACACTCCCGTTTTCGTTCCCCAACAGACACTTTACTAGAACTCCTACAAACGCAACTGAACTAAGGACTAAGATCTGTTTGTTTTGTAAGCCAAGAATTTTATTTTAATTTTTTTTATAGTTGATTAATTTATACGAGTGTTAGGAATAGGAGTTAATTTTAGAATAAGCTAGGCTAAGACACATATGTACTAAACAAGGGCAGAAAGACCGATTGGGTCGATAGCCTTTTTCTGTAGGAAATAAAGATTAGTTATATATATATATATATATACAATATATACATATATACATATATATATGAAACATTGAATTTTCACCTGTAACCTTCTTAAATCATAACATATTCAAGTGTCTCAAGATCGCCTTCAGAATATGAATGATCATAACTTTCAATCATCAAATACAACTATGTGAGAGATTTTTAATGTCAGTAGACTAATAGAACAATATTTAATCAATGCCTATTTGCATGATGTTGGCGATTACCATCTAAGGTCTTTTTCATTCGTTCAAAGTATTTTTGTATATTGACACGGTTTTTCTTTCTATTATCGACAGTTGGCTGTTTTTTCGAGAAGAAATCACATCGGTGGCATGATGAAAAATATCCTCATCTGTATGTACACTTAAGTACTCTTAAACTGAATCAATTGGATAAACATTAGATTGAAATGTACAGCTGACAATTAACGGTTACGGTTGAGCAAACCTATTGACCCACACGGCAGGTTTTTCCATGCTCCTAATAAATATTTCGGACATGTGATCTATATTCATCGCCCGCACACCTTTTCAAAATTATTATCATCAACCGTCCAAATTCTCCTTGAAAAGAATTTCGTAGTTCCGCGATTATCATGCAGACCGCGTCCAGCTTTGGAAAGTTATGTTTAGTAATGGGACCTATAAAAGCTGACCCCAACACTTTTTTCTTATCAGTCTATCATCGTTGAAAATATCATAAACAATTAGACATGGCAGTTAAGGTACGTACTTATAGGTAGTTAAATCAAAGTGCTTGTGATCAATCGATAAGTGATATTTGTGGCTTAATTGGGAATTTTAAAATTTTCAGTGATTTCAGTCTTTAGTGATATAGGCTAGTTTTCATAGCTTTCAACCTATAAACTTAAATCGGGTTTGAAGTTTAAATCAGTCGTGTAAAAGTACAAAACCACATGCCTAAGGGTGGTTTTCGATATGTGAATATTGAAAATGTCTAGGCAATGTTCATACATGTTATCGAGGTTCATTCAAATAGTATAGTTGTAAATTTAGATTCGAGCATCGTGTTTTAAGAATTCTATCTGGTTCTTTTAACGGGAAGCAGTTATGTCAAAATCTATGAAAGAAAATCCTAGTTGGTATTTCTCATGTGAACTTCCAAGGCATCTTATCGTTTGCAATTACATTAGATGTAATAACGAAGGAAATATGTGAAACAATTTTGCTTCTGGTTAAATTTTGACATAAAATATACGGCACGGATCTCACTATTCTTTCTTGGATGTGCACGACTTCATTATCATACAATAAAATTATTTTTATTTCCGCTTTTGAAAAATACTTTTGATACTGAGGCAGATAATGAACTGAAATAACTACTGACTTGGGCTAGTCCTATCATAAAAATTATTTTTATATACAATAAAGCTGAACATGTCTGAACTTTTCGCTGAATTGCCACAATTTCACTTTTAATAGACTTCAAGAACGACATGTAAGTTTTGTGATATTTTAATTGGAAACCGTGCTTTATTTCAGTTTATCATCTTTGCTGCTTTCGTGGCAACTGCCAGGGGTGGAGTGCTAGCTAACCCTACTATAGTAGCAGCCCCCCAGGTTCTCGCTAAAGTATCTGACGCCACCTACGACCCGAACCCTCAATACTCCTTTGCTTACGACGTGCAAGACAGTTTAACCGGAGACAGTAAAAGCCAAATTGAAAGCAGAAATGGAGATATCGTGCAGGGACAATACAGTGTGGCTGACCCTGACGGCACCAGGAGAATTGTCGACTATACCGCTGATCCCATCAATGGTTTCAATGCTGTAGTGAGGAAAGCCCCACTAGCTGTTGCTGCTCCAGTTGTAGCCCGAGCTGTAGCCCCAGTTGCTGTTGCTCCCATTGCTCCAGTCGCTCCAGTTGTAGCTGCCAGAGCTGTAGCTGCTCCTTTCTATGGTCAGCCGGCCTACGCTAGAGCAGCTCCTCTGATCTCTGCACCTGCTCCACTTGCTTATTCTGCTTATCCAGCTCCAGTAGCGAGATTAGCGTCGCCACTTAACTACGTTGTTTAAATCACGATATGGCTGTCAATAATGTAAATATGTTGTTCTGTAGATAAATTGTTAGTATTTTTGTCATTAAAGATTTGAATTTGAATGAAACTTGAATTTTATTTTACGGGGTCACGTGTTGTTGCGACTTAAAATAATTGTTTTCAATTACACTTATAGTGATTAAAAAACAAAGAAATATAACTCAAGCGTAATTGCCTTAAAATAATTAAACTCAGGTTGAAACGAACGCTGAAAGTGAACATTCTGACCAAAATATTAAAATGTAATATACGCTATATATATATATCCGTTTCTTACTCACATTATAATACCATTAGAAATTCCCTTTGGTGCTTGATAGCAAACCATTACAAATTGATGCGCAAAGATTAAGATTATTTCCAGACATGTTAGCTTCGAACCGTTACCATATTTTAAATTATTATGCGGTATTTATATAAACTTGATATTATCCAAAGTCATGAGTGATTCTGGTACTAACGTGAAATTGTTAATTATTAGTTGAGTAAAGACCCGTAAACATTTATAATGTTGAAATACATGTGAAATAAACACATTTATATAGCTAAACATACATTTAATAACAATAAAGTTTACGGGAATGCTAACACGAGCACTTGAGTATTGCCAATTATATTAATGAAAGCTGTTTTAATTGCAATTCGTTCAACAAACTGAAACGACAAGTATTTCTATAGATTTTAAGTTAAAGCAAACATCTAAAATTTTACTCTAAATAAGCAGGGTTTTTATTTATAAATTAAATATTTTTGCCAAACGGATTGAGGGCGAAGCATTTGGACAAATACTTAAAGCAATCTTGGGTTGCTGTCTACCGGAAAATATTTAATTCAAAATTTCAACCAGACGAAAAACTAGATAATACTTTTTATTTATTTGTTTATTTTTGCTTATTTTACTTTTATTTATTATTGATCGTAATGCTATAGCCTAATTAATTGACGACTACTGAAACTAAATTTAGCAAAGTCTCATCAAAATGAATGACTACATACATTGTAATTTTGAAATGTATTACCATAAGATAGTAACCACTTGTTATAATATCTGTTCCCAGATAACTGTATAACAGTTCTTTATTTTTCTGCAAAAGGTGAAAAACACCATATGCAAATACAGATTTTTTAAGTTTAGTATGCTTCAAACTCATAGTTTTTCCTTGCGAACGCAAACACACACAAATAGTCCTTATTCCTGAAGACGTCGAGCAAATCGATCTTCCTGCTCTTAAACGTATTAACTATATTTGAGGGTATTTGCGGATTTGTATTATTATTTCTATAGATCTATGTGAAGAATATGATTGGCTGGTTGAATGTGTTATTTACTTTTATTGGATGCATCTGCTCTCAGCATGTTATTCCGTATTCCAGCAGATGTCTACACTTGGTTTGCATATTTTGGTGTCTGTTGTAATTGTCGATCAAAAGAGTTTTTCCCTCCCAATTACATTCATTCTGACGATTTTCAGTTTTTGACCTAAAATTGTGCTATGAAATTGTCTTTCTTCTTTTTGATTCTTCAATTCTTCAACCTGGTTCTGGTTTGTCTGCTGTTGTCGTCAGGTAGTTGTATTTAGTTTGGTGGTTACGTAAGAGCAGCGGAATTTTCGTTGCGTTTGCGGTTAGTCTCCATTCGTTCAGCCATGCCTCTAAACGTATCCATTTTTGTTACTGGTTGGTCCCTCAGCGATTGAAGGTTTTTAACAGCGTTTGATGTTGCTCTGTCATGCATAGTCAGTGCAGTGTCGTCAGTGCATTGTAGTATGAAGGTAGATTCAATCGGATTTATATCGACCAGGCCGTGGTTATGTGTTAATTTTTTTATATTTTATTTGGTGTTGTCCAGAAGGCTCCTAATTAAGAAACGTATATGCTTTACAAGTACCTAGCATTAAGTAGGTAAAGTTTAGATTACAGTCTTTTCTGCCTTGAAGGCCCTATTACAGTATTTTCTGCCTTGAAGGCCTTATTAATGTCCATCAAAATATATGATGTTTTTCTGTTTCGAGATGTGTTGTTTGTACGTCATCAGATGATACAAAAAGAAGGTGGGTTAGTTAGTTTGAGTGCTTATGTTTAAAACCGAATTCGTATAATGGTATATGTTTTCCAGTTAATTGTAGTTGTCTATTTTCAATAGCAATTATTTTACTCAGCACTAGGATGGTAGCTTTTTGTTTTTGACGTCTAGGATGGTTTCGATAATGGACATTATTCCTTTGTGTTCTCCAAGCGTCTAGTATAGTGTTATTGATGATAGATTTGTTAATTTAAGATTCAAAATGCGATTTATATTTCTCAGTACTTCTTCTATGGTCTCCTGCAGCAGTGAAATTTTTGTATATATGCATGAGCTTCTTCCTATCATACGGGGGTAGGACTCAGGTCAAAGTCAGGAGGTCAACTCGTTGCAGAGGCGTGTTCTGTGTGTTCGTTAAAATAACTTCGGTATCAGCCATTAAATCAATTCCAGGTTTGGTTATCGAAGTTTGAGGTAATGAAATATGTAAACCTCTCTTCAAAATATTCGGTATGGGTGTCCTCTTTGTCCTTGTTTCCAAATATGTAGTTCTTTGCTCCGATAGTTTTGTTTTGAGAGTTTTTGTGAGTCCTGTTCAATCTCTTCACATGTCTCCAGATTTTATCATGTTTCTTTTGACCTAACGGTTTGGGAACATTTCTGCTGATTAATCTATTTAATTCGACGTCTTACAGGTGTACGGTCTGTTCATTTTTCTTTTGCGTTTCATCAGTCGTAGTTGGAATTTAAGTAAGGCATCACCGTCCGAACATGTTGCACATGATCATTTGCAAGCAAACCCGGACTTTCATATTCATGTTTGTCAATTATTCGTGGCAAATGAACGATCAAATAGTTAACAAATATGTATTCTAAATTTGTGAGATGTTTAATGCTTTTATTAGATCAGGATGCGTTTTTCCCAAAATTGTAATGGTTTTTTTTTAACGATAGAGTAGGGTTTTTGAGGAATTTTTACATTTTGAATAACTTTCATATTGCCGGCTCACACAAACCGTGGGCCAGTATTATGTCGGAATTTCTAAGCTGATAAATGTTAGCCTTTTATTGTGTAGGGAATTTCCTGCTATACATTATTATATTGCGAACACAGGTATTTTACATTACATGCTTTAAATTAACAGTATTTTGGTGGCTTCAATTTAATTATTTTGGCTTCAAATGACCTAAATTTCAGTTTTCTTTTGTGAAACATCTAAATAGACCGACACTTTAAAAACGCTAACGAATATTTCCAATTTGTTTAGCAATCTCTGACTCTTCATTGTGTTTCAATTAAATTTAGGAAACTTTTTAAGCTGATCTTTTTGTTCTTAAAAAGATTTTGTCAAATACCAATAATTTTTAGATGGTTTTGTTGTCCCCACATATCCACACGTGGGTTACTCGTAATATTTTTATATGGTTTCCACTTGATAGAAAACGTATTTGTTATTTACATATCTGCAAGTAGTTATCATGCAGCAATATCACGATTTTATTTTTAGAGAAAATTATATTTGTTTTAGTTCCTTTCCTTTAACTTGCAATAGAGTGTAAAATTTCTATCAAATTTCGATCAATATATGTTGTTCACAGACTTGTTGAAAACACACTCTGTTGTATGTAGTTGCGAAGGGTTTTGTTTTTTTATAATGCACAATGTTTTGTGCGGCACTGAACATATTTTTATTTAAAGGTTTGAAGCTAAATCAATGGTTTTCCAACTGGCGTTCTTCAATAAGGTTTGATTTAATTTCCATAGCCTTTTCACTGCGTAATTCCGATATGTTGCTCCTTGATCGATGTGAACACACAGAGCTGTAAATTATGTAGGACATATTTGTAGAAACTTTTTGTCATCAAATTAAGTTTTTTAGTATTTTCAATTCGGTTTGCAAAAACTTGTTTGATGAATTGGATACCGAAAAATTTTTAATAGAATTTCTATACCCTTTTCTGAACGCTATTGCAGACATGCCAAAAATGTGAAGATATTCACTATAAAGTCGAAATCGTAGAATATTGGAAAAGTGAAATAGAAAAATAGGAATGTTAAACTAATTAGTAACAATAATTTAGATTAGGAAATATAGCAATAAAACCTGTAGTTCTGGAACAATTTAGCTCCATGTCTACACAGCAAATTTTTATGAGCATACTTTTTGACAATACATGATCTTTTTGCAAATATATCTAGATAACGACAATTTTGCCTGGTGCCTGAAAAATAATAACTTATTTACTTCGATGTTTTGTATTCATATAAACCTAAATAACAGTAGGTGCAAATACTTAAATATTTAAAAAAATTGCTGATTTAAAATAAAATAGAAATGTCATCCTCCAACATTCAAGCACTATTACATGCGAAGCAAAGATGATAATACGGAATAATTTAGAATTTGTTCCAATAGCGACATTCATACTATAGCAATTAATCAACTAAAAGATTATTGTCCAAACGTTTAAAATGGTTTGTGTAAAGCATAAATAAAACTGTTTTAGTGCTCGATTTTTCTGCTATTATTTGTTTAAAATTTTATATCATTGCATTGTTTTATGATCGGAATTTCCAATTAAACCTTTCAAATTAGCAATATTTACTATTACAATTGAGTAAGCAAAAATGTACTGAAAAAGTGCTATAACACAAATCATTGGATGGGGGTTATTTGCAAATCGATTTCTGCCTAGGTGCATTTTAATTCCATTGAGGATAGATGGATTGACTTTTATTATTTCACTAATTATAGTGTCTGAAAATTGTAGCGAATTCTCCAACATTCATCACGATAGCTTGCTAATAAATATTATCCACATATTTGATTAAAATTTTAAATGTCTGGGCGTTTTAAGCATTCCTCTGAAGGACAATTCATTACATTCATATTTTCAAAGGCTAAAATTCGATGACAAAATCATACCTCCCAGGCTCTCATGCTCCCAAGATGAATCTATTTTCAGCTCCGTTTCCTCGAAAAGTGTAAATAATCGGCGGTTCTTTCTGACACTTTTCAAATATATCATGGATTTTTGGGTACAAATGGTTTTCTTCATGGGTTCATGCTAGCAAGCAAGTTTAATTTCGATGTTTCAGGTTATTAATAAACAAACGGCAATACTTTTCTTAATTTTCCTCAAACATTATAAGAGCTTATTTATCTCCTTTACAGAAAGTACATTCGCGCAAGAAAATTCTAAAGTCTAGTCTTAAATGTTTTTGAGTTTCTAATGCATGAGACTTTCACATCTAATATGGCTACGAAATATGATAAAGTTTCTTCTTCCAGAAATATTGCTTATATAATAACACGTATCCTACCTTCTATAGCAAAAATTAGTGTTTGTATCATTATGAAAATAAGTATTACTGTTAGAGGCTAAAAGGTCGAAAGTATAAAATGAAGAAAACCATAGCAAACTAATTGTGTAGAATTATTATGGCTCTCTTTAAACCTAACGTTAAATATAACAATATAAAATTAGTTTCAGTGAAACTCTGAATCCAAAGTTGAGTTTATTTAGTTGGTTCTCAATGCCGTTAAAAAAGTATTTAATTTTACTGAACTCCCTATACTGACTTCCCCACGCATCTAGATACAAATATATTTCCTACTTTCCCTTCTACTGCTAAAAGCGGCGAAATATGAAGGAAAATCACTTGACATAGCAAAAATATGGAGACATGCAGCAGAGCGTGAACCCCCCTATTGTATATGGTGACAACTTCTTATGATTAACCCTTGCATTTCATGTTCTAAAACTTCATATAAGAAACTGTAAACCAATTTCAAGCGTTAATATATTTATTCAAAACAATAATACTTTAGACATTTTAACAACACATCTATCCTGCAATCAATGGAGCAGCAATTGCTCTGGCAACGAGAGGAGCAGCAGGGGCCACTGGGGCAGCTACAAGTGGGGCAGCTACTGCCACTGGAGCTTTTCTGACTACAGCATTGAAACCATTCACCGGGTCTGCAGTGTAGTCCACAATTCGTCTAGTGCCTGCAAAGAGCAAAAGTATATTTTTCCACAGTTCCTTTTGCCCCTTGAAATCAACTTTTGACTGTTGACATGAAACTAAATAGAAAATTGCAGAACTAACAACATTGGTGACTTTACCGTTTTTACCAAATTAAATGAAAATTATGTATTCTATTCGGAAGATAAGCATATTGAAGATTTTACCACCTGATTTGATATGTGTTGTCCACTTTTCAATTMATTTTATTAGAACTGAGCAAATTGATACTATATGATGTTTTTAATTAAATAATAACTGTTGAGTTGCAAACTTKTYRGCCTGACTTAGTACTCAGCAAACCATGTGTTGCCTTAAGATTGAATGAAAAATGTAGGTCTCTTGATGAATGAATCTTTGAAARTCTTTGGGTACATTCATTCTACATATTTAGTTCACATATTCTCTTTTTTACTTCCAAAATTATGGCTTTTACTGAATTTTCTTATCTTTGCATAGWACAAGGGTGTCAAACTCAMGGCCTACATGATTTCTCTTTTATGGTTCATATAACCAAACACTTGCCCGATTTACATTTATTAATACAAGGCATGGATCAGATCATTACGAACACGTTTGACATAATTAAAGCATTCAAATGTAAACTATTTCTTTGGTAAAATCAAGTAAAAAATAATAAAGATATAACGCACTTTCCAACGTGCAACAAGAACAAATCTAGTTTAGAAGATACTGCGTCGTATCAAAAATACCTAGAGAAAATTTTAATTAAGTAATTTAATTAATTTTAATAAAATTTAAATGCGGTTTAAAGATTTTAATTCTTTGGAAGACAAATTTTGTTTGTTTTCTTCGATTTTCTCAATAAAAATATCATCATTTCTCATCTTTATCGCTCTTAAAATGTACACTTTATTTCGATTCGTTTATTCGCTCTTGTATCCCATCCGATATTTGCTATTCATCAGGTCTATCCGCTCTTTATTCCCATTTCCGAACGTTTTGTGCCATTGCGAATATTGCAGCGGCATCGCTTCGTCGCCATTCTCACTTACCTCTTCGGCTTAAGAGATCTATTCAGCTTATATAAGGCGTATTCCGCTTCACTTATGAATTGTACTTATATTACCGAACATTATGAATATATCCCGTATATCTGCTATTACATTGTAATTGTTATTGTCAGATTTAAGTAATTTAATTGCTTATTCACCCAAATTAATAGTTTTTTAGTCAATTTGAACATTTGAGCGAATAATTTCGCGTTTAAATGTTTTATTAAAGCTTTAGTATATAAACTTGCTATTTACCAATTGATAAATTAGGCAAAATTCGTATAATTAGACTTAATGAACTGATGAAATCGTGACTTCTTCTAGAAACCTCGTGACATAATCAATACTCGATTGGAATATAGGTAATAGTGCGAAGGCGAAAGGAATTTTGATATAACAGTCGCAGAAAATTAACAAGCAGGAAAGTAACCACGCAGATGTTGATTGATCATTGAACAATTAAATACATTTTCTATAAATATTTGCTTTGAAGACTG